GGTGGTCATGTAGGTGAATAAGCATCCCCATCTCTTCGCCCGGGCTCGTCCTTGTTTAACCAAAAATGGGCTGAAGCAATCAATTCCAGTGTAGGTGAACGGCTGGCCTCCTGGGCGCACTCGATTTTCTGGCAGGTCGGATTGGCATTGGTGGGTAGGCCTCCAGTTTCTTCTTCGGCAAGTCACACACGTCTGTAATGTGCGGTCGCGTAATTTGAGGCACTTAGGTATCGTATACATCTCACGTATTATGGCAAGAGTGTGTTCTCGTCCTGAGTGTCCAGCCCTAGTTGAGTGTACCTCTCTCCCGATGAGCCCCGTGATCCTGTTGTCCATTGGCAATACTAGTAGTATGGGATTCTCCTGGTCTGGGTGGAAAGCGACGTGTTTCAGTCGGCCACCTACTCTGATCAGACCGTCCGTGTCTAGATGAGGTTCCAGCTGCCTTATGTCGCTACCTCTCACGGGTTGTCCCTGTTGTAAAATTCCTAGTTCTCGAGGGAAACCCTTCTTTTGCATCAATCTTAAGACGGCTAATTTCGCCTCTTCCAATTTGCTGATCTGGAGACGATTTTCTCGGTGATGTTGGTTATTTTGCTTCCCAAGCCGCCATTCTATAAACCGTCTAATCCACGCTATGCTCTTCAGAAGTCGATGCCTCGATGAGTACCTGGCCCATAGCTAATCGAGGGTACCCTCCCCCTGGTCAACGTTCGCCGTCAGCACCGTGGTTTCCTTGGGTCTCCGTCTCTGAGGTCTGGAATCCTCAATGGACTCTTTGGTCAACTGTCTTCTTTCAACAAGAGGAAAGCAGGTCCCCGAATCCACCTGCCCTCCTCATTGAGCTCTACTCTATGTAATCCACGACTAGCGTCGTCGGCCGGGTTCAGTGCGGACGTCACGTGGCGCCATTGTTCTACCTTGGAGTCCTCGTGTATCGTTTAAAGTCTGAAGTTGCTCCATATGATCTTTCATATTCTGCATCATTGCTGTCAATTGGGTGAGCGTCTGCTGATAAACCCCTGATTACCCTATTTAACCTGCCTGTTGGTTTCATCCTTCTCTCGGGTGAAAGGGTTTCTCTACTTCGCCCTGGCTGTACGAGTTACTGGTTAGCATTTCTGTCATTCAGGTATTCTACACTGGTTAGGCTTGTCTCCTCTGCCTTGTTTCCTTCCATGACTGGTGACACAGTGAACTCGATTTGGCTCTTTCGGTGGACAGCTATAGAGACGTTTGGTTAAGCGGGAACGCTCTTCAACTGACACGTCTGCTTGTTTATAAAGATGTCATATAACTGAGGTCATACCAGCGATGCCATGTAACTGAAGTCATACAAGCGACGTCATACAATCTGAAGTCATGTAAGCGATGTCCTACAACTGAAGTAATATAAGCAATGTCATACAATCACGACCACAGTGATGTCACACACGAGTGACACTGGACCACGTTTCTACACACGTGTTATACACGTATTCAACTGGTTTAACTATTGGTATACAGTACATATATGCATATATATACACACATACACATATACATATATATACTTATAACTTGAATGTTGTACTCACACTTAACCCACAAATCCTTTTCATTTATGTATTTCTTCATGGTTCCTTATTATCATTGAGTAATTCACCTTATTTGTTTGACTTAAATCTAAAATGTAACACCAATGTCTTATATAATTACCGTGAAAAATATACTAAGACTTATATACGTTCACTTAAGATGAAGACAAAGTAAAAGTTAACGAATCTTATCAAAATTATGTATCTGTTAAGCGAACCTTTGGTGATTGTCTTCTGAAGTTAATTTTGCGATATGGTTGATATTTGATATACTGTGGTGTCACTGGTATAGGAAGATCAGCTGCTAGTTATAATCACTGGCGTGCGTGTCTGAGCGAACACGCTAACTACCCGTTCACCCAGACCAAAACATTTCGACACTGTCCGGGTGTTCTGAAACCTTTGCTCACTGGTGCGCGGCTTCCCTGTTCGAAAGGAACGCTCACAGCCCCGTACGCGCAGACAGAAGCTCTACGACACTGTCCGGGTATTTAAGACACTTCACTCGCTATCACTGTTCCTCATGCTGAAGACGCACCCACCCACTGTGGGTGGGTGGGTGATCGACGACCTACGCTTTCCCACGCTGGACTCCGGTGTTGGTCCTTCAACAGTCCTCCCGTATACATTTTGACTGTTAACGCTCATAGGAGCGTTATTGGTTTGTTGCTGGAGAAATAAACCCTTAACGTTGACGCGTACCATATAATTCGGTCAAAACCTGTTAAAGAACAATTCACATATAACAAATGCTGTTATCTCAGGACACATAGAATGAATAATACAATCAATATACAGTACATAGCCTGTTAAGATCTTAAATATAACTCACATGTTATAACTGTTGATACATCAGGAGACAATTTGTATAATATGATCAAATTACAGTACATATATATACTTATTAAAGTTATTTAGAGTTTCTTAGAAGATTTTAATACTTCAAGATCACACTCACGTTTTAGGGTTTAGTGGTCTGACCAACGTGTTGTCTTTCCTGTAGAAATCGATAGACTACCGTCGAGAGCAATCGCAGCCCGGAGGCGAGGACCATCTGTTTCGTATTGAAACACCTCAGCAAATTCGTCAGCAAATTCGTCAACACTATATCTCTGTTCTCACCCTCTCTCTCTTTCTCTCGCCTAGTTTATCTTACTGTGGTGGTAACATATATATATATATATATATATATATATATATATATATATATATATATATATATATATATATATATATATATATATATATATATATATATATATATATATATATATATATATATATATATCTTGATAAAATCACACACGGGAAAATGGAAACAACGGAGTACCTTAGCTTTCGTCTTTATTCAAGACATCTTCAGAGGCAACTAGATTACATGGACAGAGAGAGGCTTAAATATACAGGGTGAGGTCAGGTCATAATGATGACATCCACTAATCCCCACACCAACACAACCGTAGAGGAGCTTAAGAGAAGGGTGGTGACGTGACTAGACAGGTCAGGTCAGAAAAAAGGGACCCACAAAATAACTGTCATACATCAAGATCAAAGGTTTTCAAAGCAGTTTTAACCTTGGGCCACTGACAAATAAATTTATGTAACATATTATCAGTTTTGAACTGACCATCACTAAGGTTTATTGATTTTAATTCCTTAATCAAACTAGCTTCAACCAGAAGTCTTTCTGTGACACAAGATGATTTGAATACTTCTAAGCTTTTTTCCCAAGCAATGGGGTGATTATTATTCCTAACATGAACGAACAAGGCACTGCTTTCAGATGCAGTTCTGATATTATACTTATGTTGTTTGATTCTGAGCTGCAGTGTTTTTCCTGTCTGACCTACATAATTACAATTACATTTACTACATGGAATACAATAAACACTTCCATTTACATTCAAACATGGGCTATTCCTTATTAACATATACTGTATATTTATTTATTTTTCGATCTCTGTGCCAGGAATAGTAAGTGAGCGTGTGTGGGTGTACAGGCGGTGTCTGTACTGCAACAACGGGGAGATGGACGTCCAACTTATCCTGCAGAAGAATCTCACCTCACTTATTCAACAACCTGCCCACCTCTTTCCTGGTGAGAATGATGTGAAATTAAATGTATCCCCTTGCATACGTCTGTGCTATATTTCGATAACTAGAATTGCTCTTGCTTTGTGGGATCCCATATACAGTCCTTAGGTGACGATATGAGAGATAACAGCGAGGTAAACGATGATGCAATGATGCAACAGACTTTTCTCTGCGTACAACAAATTATTTATAATTTTCTGCATTTGGAAAGTACGTAAGACTTTACAAGTTATAATCTATAAAAAATAATATTCGATGGGTTTACACAAACGCGAGATTTAAGAGAACAGTAAGTCGGAGGATGAAGATTATGTGTATATATGACTGTTAAGTATTAGAGTGTAAGTGTTAATTACTTTGGATGATGGTTTAATTCTATAGCAACATAAAACTAACAGAGAAGCAAGCAAAAAACTCATACCTATTCTCGGCAGAATAGTTCAAAACTTGATATATTTTGCCCAGTAGAGCTCAAAAACTTAAGATATTATCCTCTTGCCAGAACAGTTCCATAATCTGATGGGTTACAAGTATCGGGTAGTGGCGTTAAGATATTTCCCGTATATGGACTACGAGAGAGACAGAGACGAACCAGGCACCACTGTCACGCCGAAGGATTCCTTGGACGTCAGGATATTAACTACTCTCGCCTTAGTCCTAAATTTCACGTAATATATCCCATTTATTTTTCCTTTATAAGAATTTCCCATAAAATTTTTAAGGCATTACTGAAATACTGATGTTCATAGGTACAGTATATTCCATACAGATATATAAGCATATAAGAGGTGTGACTATAAGACATTCGGAGACAAGTCTGGCGAATGCGATGGGTGATTACACTAGATAATATTGTAGAAATATAATCCATCACCAGATACCAGATACACGAACGGAGTGATTTTAAATGGGGTGTACCGACAAACGGTAAATTTAACGGGATGATTGGTGAGCTCCAGCGTGAAGAATCTGACTTCTGTATGATCGCGGCGCCAACCCCTGAACGCCTGCAAGTTATCGACTACACGAAGGGATATACACCAGACGTAATGATCACACTCTCTTTGAAGCCTACCTTATTGCCAGAGAACCTTTCTCTCATAAGACCCTTTGAAGGTAGGTTTTAAGATGACGGTTTATACATTCTGTAGTCTAGATATCTTATAAATCTGGTACTGACAAGTTATAAATACCAAGACAGGAAATTTGACACCTTTCCTGCAGGAGAACTGTGGGTAGCACTGCTGTTGAGCGTGGTGGCGTTTGGTGTGCTTATGTGGGTGCTACAGAAAGTGTGGTTATGGGCGGCGGGAGGGCGGAGTGTCAAGTTCAACACCGCCTTCCTGTACGGTTGGGGAGCACTCCTGGAAAAGCCTCCTCCGGTTCCCTCCGTCACCGTCTCTGGTCAAGTAAATATTACTCTAACGTCAATTTTAATCTTTTTTATTCCTTCAAGATAATATTATCCAGTGTATTACTTATCCATCTTTGAAATTATATGTGATAACTATGTCCGGTAAATAGTTTTCTTCAGCCAATTTTAACTTTGCACAGTCCCACACATAGTGTCCAAATATGACAACTTTGTCTTCAACATAGCCTACTCCTTTTTTAACACTGTGGGATAATGGTCAACATGCTCGCCTAACAAGCGATTGGACCCCGTTTCGATTCCCTGGCAGGGTGAAACTATGGGCAGGTTTCTTTAAGCCATTTTCCTCTGTCCACCCAGCAATAATTGGGAACTTGGATGTTAATCGATTTGCGGATCGTGTTCCGGGGTAATAGCTAGCCAATGCAGTTGGCGAGTTGTCCGGTTTTCTAGGGCTATTCCTTGACACTGGGTCATGCAACTCGTTAACTCAAGGTGTAGCTGTGTTGGCGACATCTTCTTCCCCTTAAATAAATTCACATCTAGGTGGCCCTTGGGCCGGCCATCCTCGTTGCACGAGGGGCAATCATTATTTTACTAACTTTTCGCTGATGCCAACAGAACATCATATAATATCTTCCCCACCAGTGATGTCTTAATGTCCTTCTGATAATTCCAATTACAGTTTTTGGTCGAGCGTCTTGACCAATACCTGACTATGTGTTCTTGTGTATGTCTGTACAGGTGCTGGTGGGGTGGTGGCTGGTGTTTTGTCTGATCATCACTACAGGATACCGCTCGTCTTTAATTGCTCACTTGACAGTTCAGGGGAAATCAGCGACACTTGAGGGTTTTATGGACTTAGTGCAACGCGACAATTGGAAGTGGGGCAGCGAGGCTTGGTTCATGACAGGAGTACCTTTAGAGTATTTCTCAAAACATACCGACCCAGTGGTCCAGAAGATATATAAAGAAATGGAGGTCAGTTCCCAAAAGCGTTTCCTATTATTTTATGCATGAAAGTGTTCTAATGGAAACCCCATGTGCGTCTCTTATGAAATATGCAAGAAGATTGCACAGTGCAATTTGGTCCCTAAAAAGGCAGCAAAAATATTGATAAGCCAGGTGGAGTTCCGTTATAGACATCCATACACACACACAAGTGTGTATATATATATATATATATATATATATATATATATATATATATATATATATATATATATATATATATATATATATATATATATATATATATATATATATATATATACAGTGTGTGTGTGTGTGTGTGTGTGTGTGTTAGTACTAATAACAAGTCTTGTGTCCAAGCTGCCTCTCGTGAAAGAAGCATTCGAGAAGGTGCTCGCGGGTGGTTACTCCTTCATCAGCTTCAAGAACTACGTCAGTGTCATCATTGCCTCCAGCTACAGCGATAGCTTCGGCAGCACACCTTTCTACATCGGCAAAGAAGAAATACCCATCTTCGTGGTCTCTGGATGGGGATTCAGGTAAATAGATTGTCTTAAGTCTTCATAATGAATAAGAAAAAATGCCTAATAACGATACGTTTCCTTTTTTCTTAACTTCTGACTGGCCACAAACGATCTAGTAGATAATCATAAAACACTAACATAAATAGTTTCAGAAAAATAAACATTATATTTTAGGTACGTATAATTTGTCTGTCATGGAATGATAAACGATATCTGAAATGAAAAAGTACTGAGTACTTTACATTTGTCCACATTGAATTTTATCTGCCATTTTTCAGACCATTCGAAAAATTTGTTTAGATATTCCTGTAGTTTTGCGGATTCTTCGTCAGATTAAATTACACGTCCTATTTTAGTGTCATCAGCAAATTTACTTATGTTGCGGTCTATGCCAATATCTATGTCGTTTATGTATATAATAAATAATAATGGTCCAAGTACTGAGCCTTGGGGAACTCCACTAGTGACGTTGCTCCAATTGGATTTAGTGCCGTTAATGCTCACTCCCTGTTTCCTGTCCTGTAACCACGCCCTAATCCATTTTAGAATATTACATTTAATGTCATGTGCTTCTACCTTTCTTATTGGTCTTTCGTTGGGGACTCTGTCGAAGGCTTTGTTATAGTCGAGATATACCACATCATAATTGTGCCCCTCTTCCACCGATTCGAAAACTGATGAAAAGAATGTTAATAAATTAATTAGACATGAACGCCTTCTTGTGAAGCCATGCCGGGAATCAGTGATCAATTTGTGTTTCTCCAGGTGGTTTCGAATAGAGTTTGAAATGATTGCTTCCAGTAATTTACATTCGCTATCCTCCAGAATTCTGGCACTACACTTGTTTTTAAGGACATGTTAAACAACTTTGCTAAAGGCATACTAAGCGCTTCCTTACATTCCTCTAATACTCTGGCAAATATCTCATCGGGACCAGGTGACTTATTAGGCTTTACTTTGTCTATTTGCTTACTAACATCGTTACTAGTCACTACTATCTCGCTTAATTTGTTTTCTTCACTATCTCTGAATAGAGTCGGTGCCTCGGGCATCATGTTTAAATTTTAAGTGGTGAAAACCGTTGAAAAATATTTATTCAGACTATTGCTCATTTCTCCGTCGTTATCAGTTAGCTCGCCGGTATCTAATTGTATTGGTGCAATCCTTTCTTGTGTTTAGTTTGATACATATGATAGAATCCCTTGGGGTTTGTCTTCGCCTCCCTTGCTATCCTCAGCTCATTATTCCTCTTTACTTTCCTTATGTCGTTCTTAACCCTACCGGCCAATACCTTTAAGCACACCAGCTGTCCGTAGTCAGGTCATAGGGTAAGATGAACCAACCTTCTCACCTGGTTGCAAATCTTCTTATTCACAAAATTATCCAGTTTGTACACACCATTACTCAAATTCATGTTGACAGATTCGGTATGTTTAATGAGACTGGATTCTATGTTATTCCTACTATCAATTGAATTACAAGGTAATATTGAGGAGGCATTATCCCAGTCAATGCAATGCTTGTTATCCCTCAAATGAACAAACAGAGCATTGGATTCCTGGCCTGTCCTAACACTGTATTTATGTTGTTTAAGTCTAGTTACAAGATCTTTACCTGACTGGCCTAAGTAAAAAATATTACATTCCTTGCAAGGAAGCTTATAAATGCAGCCGCCTGTATTATTGTGGGAGTTCTGAAGATGTGAATATATATATATATATATATATATATATATATATATATATATATATATATATATATATATATATATATATATATATATATATATATATATATATGTAACTGGTCGGAATTACTGGACCTTTAATTCTCACTTAACTTGTGGTTTAATAAATATTGTTAGATGATAATTGCAGTGGAAGCGCCCCTTGGAGAGAAATCCCGAACCAGCACAAGAACACTTAAATTTACTAAGAAAATGAATTCTCCGTGACCCGCAGAAGGATAGCATCTGTGATTGGGGTGAATGAGACACTCTGTAAAATTTAGACACTTCTATTCCCTCCATCACTACAGACACAATCAAATAATGGTACACCAACATATGCGCACCTCTTAACCTGAACTTAAAACACTACTCTGGGGAATAAAAGTTATACATGATATTGAAATTATTAGAAACTCGGACAATGCCTCATTAGACAACAATAAATTCAAAGTATTAAGAAATGTTGCCTGTGCACATGAAACAGCCCTTCAGGGCTTTCAACAAATTAATATCAATCACTGAGGAAATGGTATGAAAAAATAAGAAATTATTAATTCCACCATGCATAGGCATAAAGGGCACTCAATAGAATTATGTTACACTAACAGATGCAGGCCTTAAGGATTTTCAACAAAATTATATCAAGCACTGAGAAAATGGTGTAAAAAAAGTAAGAACATATGAACTCCACCCTGAATAGGCTTTAAGGGCACTCAACAAAATTATATCAAGCGCTGAGAAAATGGTGTAAAAAAAATAAGAACTTATGAACTCCACCCTGAATAGGCCTTCAGGGCACACAACAAAATTATATTACCCCCACAGATGCACACCTCCTAACCTAACTTAAACACTACTCTGGGGAACAAAGGTTATACCTGAGATTGAAATTGTAAAGAAATATGAAATGCATTAAAGGAACTAAATCACAGTATCACTTGCAACATAAGGGAGAAAACTCATCTGAAAAACAGTTCCCTCATTCTCTGGTTTCAATTAGTGACAGACATTAAAAAACAATACTATCAAAATTATTTAAGAAATATTAACTACACACAGCAAGACAACATCAGTAACTGAAAAAATAGTATTAACTACACACAAAAATATTATCACTATTATTAAGAAGTTACTGAGTCCACCAATACCCGTGAACCATGCTTCCTTACCTAACACATAGATTCCACCTGCACTCCGTAGTTTTTTAAGGCACAACCAACAGGCACCCGTAGTTTAAGGCCCAAACCAGCCTTTCTCAACCTTGGAAATGTACCTCTAAGTTCCACTGGACTCTTGGTCCCAGTGTGTGACCCTGTATCACTCAGCTGGCTTCACTTTACCCCCAGTACATCCATGAAACGGAAGGGAGTGAGCCACTCAGACCTTGTACAGTTGAGAGAAGCTTTAGCTTCCCGTTAGTAAAAGGTTTTCACTAAGCTGCTTGAAGATATGTGGTATTGTGAGCCGAGGTAGAGGAGAGTTGATGACCCCAAACGATCGTCACGTCGTTAGTTGGGCACCTAGACAGCTGGGTTAACTCCAACTCTCACCATACTCAACAGGTGGCTCAAACCCAGGTCAATGGACGGTCATACAGCCGGCTTCACCACTCGTGTCTCATACCGCCAGTGGACGTTATCATACCGCGTGGGGTCTACAGAACCCTGAAAAACCCGGGCTGCTAGCTATTGTCTCACATTACCGTTTGTTCCTACCGCCCTATCAAGCTTTGTCTGAGATTGAATAAAACTTACTTGTTAATACTGATGTTAAATAAAAGAAGGAACCAGGTCACGCGATCCGTCTCTCCTGGGTACAGCACAGAGGTGGTCCTTGACCTCTCTCACAGCTCCCCAGCCATGCTTGCTCACTGGTTCACGCTTTCCAGGAGTGGCTTATTTACCAGACGATTAACAGCTTAGTTAGGACGTACGCAACATTTTCAGACTGGGAAACGATCTATAATTATTTTCAATTTAATAACTAATATTTAATTTCATAATTCGCGTCCCTATTAACTCAGTAAATTACATTTATATCGTATAGGCCTAGTTCCACAACCTCTCGCTACGTGCGGGAGCGCGGTCTTCCCTCAGGCGACCTTGAACTCAGCATCGCCAATGGTGCGGCGTTTGAAATTACACTGAAATTTCTGAATATTATATATATATGTGTGTGTGTGAATTACAAGAAAGTGCTTGGGAACTTCGTGTTTTCTTCTTTCCTTGTGGTTATCAGCATATACCTGGATCATGCGCACCCACAGTGATTTACTTGCATATATATATATATATATATATATATATATATATATATATATATATATATATATATATATATATATATATATATATATATATATATATATATATATAAACATTTATTATATATATATATATGTAACCGGTCGGAATTTGCTGGACTTTAATTTCTCACTTGACTTGGGGTTTATTAAAATTTAATAGATGGTAAAGGCAGTGGAAGCGCCCCTCTAAGAAAAATCCCGAGCCAGCACAAGAACACTTAAATCTACTACACAAAATGAACTGTCCGTGACCCGTGGAAGGATAGCGTCTGTGACTGGGATGAATGAGACACACTGTAAAATTTAGACACTTATATTCCCTCCAACACTACAAACACAATCAAATAATGGTACCCCAATATGCGCACCTCTTAACTTAAACTTTAACCACTACTCTGGGGAATAAAAGTTATACATGACATAGAAATTATTAGAAACACAGGCAACAATAAATTTAAAGTATTAAGAAATGTTAATTGCACATATGAACAGGCCTTAGGGCTTTCCCAAAATAATATCAGTCACTTAGGAAATGGTACTAAAAAATAAGAAATTAAATACTCCACAATGAATAGGCCTTAAGGGTCTTCAACAAAATAATATCAGTCACTGAGGAATGGTAATAAAAGATAAGAAATTAAATACTCTACAATGAATAGGCCCTAAGGGCTTTCAGCAAAATAATATCAATCAACAAAATTATAGCACCCCAACAGGTGTACACTTCCTAACCTAACCTAACCACTGCTCTGGGGAACAAGGTTATACCTGAGATCAGAATTATGAAGAATTAGAGGCATTAAAAGAATCAAATCACAGTATCACTCTGGTTCCACTTAATGGCACAAACATTCAAAAAAACACTACTATCAAAATTATTTAAGAAATATTAAACTACACACGTCAAGATAATATCAGTCTGAGGAATGGTGTTAACTACCCCCGTGATAAGGAAGATAAAATGTTCCTCTAGGTATCTCC